TACCCTCAACTTAATGTGCCATAGTATAGGTATAGGTAGTATAGGTACCTCCCAAGTAGCATGGATTGCAATTTCATTACAATGGATTGTGAGTTGATTGCAATTTTTGCTTGTTGCCTATACGTTCATTTGAAGGCGCTTAAAAAGTTGCAATTTTATTGCAATAAGTTTGCAAGAAATGTAGATTATGCTTGTTGCCTAACCTTCTTTTTCAAGGCACTATAAAGACTGCAATTTCGGTGCAATCATGTTGTAACAAATTCACGCCATGTGCCTGGCATCCAATTCTCTAGTTGNGCTTTGCTTTTGGGGAGGGAAACTTTTATGCGCGCTGTTTCATGTGCCGGGGGTCTTTCAAGCGCGCTACTTTTGGGGAAGGAGGCTGTTTAGCGGGTTGTATTATATAAAGGCGCAATTAATTGTAGCAAAACAGCAAATTTTGGGGAAGGCAACTTATGAAGTGAGGAAGGCCATGAATTTTCTGCACCCCTGTGTGGTCCAAAGACTCCAAAGAGGCACAAAAAGTCAGCATGTCAGCATCTTCGCGCATAAAAAATCTGGCTTAGGCCGTCAATTTCTCCACGATATTTTCTGAACGCCTAATGGAAGGAAATGTTCAGTTTTCAAGAACACTGAAGCATATTAGTCTCGTACTCGTAAAAGGCTCTAGACAATCTGGAACTTGTGCATCCACATAATCAATGTTATTGAAAACCATTATCCCTCTCAACACTATGACGGAAGAGAGGGTAAAAGAAATAATAGGTAAATTAAAGAAGAGTCTAGGGGGCTATCCAGTGTGTTCCACAGTAGTTAAGGAACATAAAGGAAACCTAATTTACAGTGGACTCTCGATAATTCGAAATTGAAGGGAATCGGTTTTTCTTCGAATTAGCGAGGTTTCGAAATAAAGATAGTTCGAATTAAAGAGATTCATGCGGAGGGATTTCGAATTAGAGAGGTTCGAATGTAGAGAGGCAAATGGACGGATTTACGTCAAAAGGAACCAAATATATCAGTTTATTTCTTTACGGAGGCGAAAATTACACTAAGTAATTATTAAGTATTAATTATTTATATTTAATTTTAAAATTATTAATTACATGTTTACATTTTGACAATCCTATCAGCTCTTTCAGACACCCAGGTACATAAACAGTTGACTTCGAATTGTAGAGGGAATGTAACGCCTTATTTCGAATTATAGAGGGAGGACCATATTTACTTCCCGCACTTCGAATTACAGAGAGAATTTTCGTCGCAATTTCGAATTATAGAGGGTCGAGCCAGCTTAAAAATTTCGAAATAACGAGGGGAGAGAAATACATTGATTTTCTTCGAATTATCGAGAGCTTTCCTAGGGAAACAGACTTTCCTTCGAATTAACGAGGTTTTCGAATTATCGAGGTTCGAATTATCGAGAGTCCGCTGTATTTTGAATTATGAATTACTGAAATAGTAAATAAGTCATTTAAGGAAGAGAAAATTCCTGAGGTACCTATTAATAAAGGCGATAGTAACACCTATGCCTAAGGTAAAAAATACGAAGAAAATTGAGGAAATGAGACCTACTAATTAACTCGTTACCAGAGGTGGAAAGTAAAAGAAGGGGTAGTAATTAGAGAAATTTTAAATCACATTGAAAAGAAAAAAAAAATTAATTGAGGAACAAAGAGGCTTTAGGGAGGAGAGAGGGGCGGAGGAATTAATTTAAATATTGTTCAAAGAATGGTGAGAAGGGGAAGAGAAAGATAAGGGTTTTGTAGATTTAAAGAGGGCTTTTGAGACTATCAATAGAGAGATATTAATTAAGAGACTTGAAAAAATTGGGATTGGAGACAAGGCATTAGCCTGGTTGAAGGACTACCTACAAGAAAGAGAGCAGGCAGTGAAGGGGGGGGGACTTTCCGACGAAAGTGTTGAATTGGGAATACCACAGGGGAGTAGGCTACGGCCAGTACTGTTCTTAATTTATATAAACGATTTAAAAAGTGTGTTGAGGGAATGCAAAACTGAGAATGTTCGCTGATGACACACTTTGATATATCTGAGAGGAGAAATAGTTGAGAGATTACAGGAAAAGCTGCTTAAAGAATTGACAAGGGTTGGGGAATGGGGAATGGCTGAAGGTAAATAAACTTAAATTAAACACAGAAAAGTCGAAGTTTGTGGTATTTAGCTCTGAGGAAGAGAAAAGTGGTATGGAGGCGCAGATAAAAATAGGGGAGGAGAAAGTGGAGAGAGTTAATGAATACAAATAATTGGGGGTATTAGCAGGAAAAGACCTGAAATGAGATAAGCAAATTAAGAAAATAACCAATGATTATAGAAGTAGAGTTTGTTTTATTATGAAGGGTCAAAAACACATTGACAATGAGGGGAAGAAATTGTTATACCTACTAAGTATGCAGTGGTAAATTACTCCATAACAATATTATTTGAGGTGAGCAAAAGCGTTATTGAAAGAATACAAGTGGGGCAGAACATCACGATGAGATACATATTAAATAAGGGGTAGAGAAGAAAATATTGGGGTAATGCTTAATGAACTTGGGGGGTTATGTATGGAATTATTTGTAAAATATAGGGTGTTTATATTTATTTATAAAATGAAGAAGGATTATATTAAGGGTGTGGACAAAGGAATGAAAGAACTAATATGGTGTAAAAATACAAAGGAAACGAGAAATGGAGATAAGGTATGGACATATCATGAAAAGGTTGCTGTTGATAAAATGATATTCTATAAAAGAGTGAGGAAGTACAACAGATTCAAGTGCTACAAATTGGAAGACCTGGGACTGGGGGTGTTCAAAAGGAACTTACTATTTAAACTAAGGGTATATCAAAACAACAACTGGGGAGGAGGGAAGATTACTGAGGTACGAGGATAAGGAGGTATTATGTAAGAAAAGGGGGAACGAATGGGAGCATAGAGTGTGTAACCTCAGAGAAAAGTGGGAACAGGACGGGTTAGCCAATGGCTATTTGAAGCCCTCCCCCCCCCCAAAAAAAAAGATCTAGGAAGAATCCAATTTAAAGGCGGTAAAATTATCGAGAAAGGAGATGACTATGAAACTGTGGGTGTCATCACTACTTATCTGATAAATGCGTTCCATCAGATGCCAACATTCATGTCATGCAGGCTCTAGCATTATTGGTTTGCTTTCTTCATATTTTTTCCTACATATTGTATGTCTTTTACAAGTAGTTTTTTCATAAACTAAACCTAAACATCCCTATTTTCCACAACTAAAAATATTATCACACTTTAAGTTGTTATCAATTGTTTTTTTTGTTCAGCTGCAGGCAGCTGTAACCCTATGTAAAAAAAAATGGTTCAATTTTTTCAAGTTTCCCCCATTTTTTATGCGTAAAGTACTCCCCTGCACAAAGCTTTGTGCTTGTAATGGTTCCCACTGGATGATTTTTTAATTTTGTATGCTTCTTTGTTTTTCAAATAAATTCAATTCAGTTCAATGGTGTAAACTTCGATGACTGGTGTGAATTAATAACTTCCAAAATGTTGCAGCTCTATCTGAGCATTGAGCAAATCCCCTTGCTGTAAGTAGTGCAGTTTATTTTAGGAATTAAAAGGAGAAAATCTGCATATTAATTAAAATGATTCGCTACTTGGTGGTATTAAACCAATTTTTTGCACAGCGAGAACATCTCATGAGTTATAACAGGGCAAGAACCTCCCATAGAGAAAAAAAAGGTGTTTGCATCTTGAGGTTTGTTTAACCTGTGACGTAGGTCGTCACAACCTGGCCAGCGAAATCCGGAATTCAAAATATAAAAAATGGACCATGATGTTGTCCGATTTTTTTACTTGAATCAACTCATTATATAATTTCAAGCACTTTTTATAGATAACTTTTTTCCTTAAATTACACCATTTCCAAGAAAATCGACAGGATAAACGTCGCTGTACCGACCTACGTCATCAAATCATCAAAAAATTCCAAGATGCCCGAAATGCAAACACCTCCTTTTTTTTCTCTATGAGAACCTCCTGCAGTAACAGGATGCTCTGGCTGTGGCAAATGTGTGCGGTTTATTTTTACCATGTGACTTGTCATTTTCATTAAGGTGATTCGATGGACGCCATATTTTTTGTCAGAACGACATGCGATATATCGCATTGATTGGTCCCATTTTTTCAGCTAATTGTCATTTTTCTCATACTTTGAGATCGCAATTCTGTTGCCAGGAGGTTAAAGAATTCACATATCAGTTCTGACAACCACATTCAACGTATTAAAGGCGTGGTTTTTACTGACGAAAAATATCGCATTCGAGTGCAGTTTCGATATCAGTGTCGAATGCGATAGTTTTCCTCTAAAAATCACGCCTTTAAAGCGTCCAGCTCACGTACAAACTGGGGCTCTCAAACTGGCACTAATTCTTCTATTTCTCAGCCATTTCTGGAATGCCTTGAAAATTTCAAGTTCTGATCTGTGATGTATCCCGAACACATCGGTTACCCTCAAAGATCGTCGGCCCGACGATCTTTGAAAGGCAACAGTCAGCAGTTCCATCGATGAGCCTCTTTGAGGCCCCTAGTTTGTAGGTGGGCTGGACGCTTTATACGTTGAATGTGGTTGTCAGAATTGATATGTGAATTCTTTGAACTCCTGGTAACAGAATTGCGATCTCAAAATATGAGAAAAATGACAATTAGCTGAAAAAATGGGACCAATCAATGCGATATATCGCATGTCGTTCTGACAAAAAATATGGCGTCCATCGAATCACCTTAAGATGCAGATTTTCTTCTTTTTTTCCTAATTCAAACTGCACTATACCTGCAGGATAATTTGATCAGATAATCGTAGGATATTCAGTGGTAGGATATTTGTGGAATATTCATAGGATATTCGTTGGTAGGATATTCATAGGATATTCTACTTTTGCCATTGAGTATATCCTTCGAATATCCTATAAATATCCTACTGCTAGCTGGGTGCAGTTTGTGGGTGTAGAATAAATAAAGTAGGTTCCGTATCTTAAAGAAATTTATTTTCTGTATTTGATGAATAAAATACATCCACCATCGTCTCAGCAATAAGAATGAGTCAATTAACAAGTACATAATATTAAAAATGTATGTTAATTTTCACTCTGTATCTATAGCTTTGTGACTCGTTGAAAATTTAAAATATGCTTTTAGCACTTAAAAAGTACAATAAAGAATTATAAGTGCAACCAGTAAAGTGAACATTCATTCAACTTACACCCACGCATGTACACAGTTACTCACGAAAATTAATGGAACTAAAAAAGTTCAGGGTTACTTCTAGGTTCCAGGCTAGAGTCAAGGAAGTAAGTAAATATTCCCATTCCAGATTAATCATATTTCAATTCACATCCTTGACTGAAGGTACCTCATAAAGATTTGATAATTTCTGCTACCTATAGTTTTGTAAGCTTCTTCAAGTTCTAAGTCACTGATACGGTATGGCGGAAGAAAGTAAATCGTATTTCCCAAAGGTCTGAGTAAAAGTCCTTTCTCTAAAAATTTTGGCTTGAGTACCTGAGCATAGGGAGTATCAAAGGCAGCAATCGTTCCAGTGACTCGTATATGATGAATATCAATAAAAGCTATGGAGAGTTTTTCCAGCTCTGTTTTATGAGTCATGTGAATTCTGTTTAACTTAGCCATTATGCCAGGTTGCGTCAACAACTCCAGAGATGCAATCCCTGCAGCACAGCCTAGAGGATTAGCAGTATAGGAGTGGCCATGAGCAAACGCTTTAGTAAAGTGTTCACTTAGAAATGCATCATAGATCCGGTCAGTAGTGGCGGTAACTGCTAATGGTAAGAATCCTCCCGTCAATCCTTTGGATATACAAAGAAAATCAGGAACAAAGTTCACCTGCTCCAAAGCAAAACAAGATCCTGTACGACCGAATCCTGACTTGATTTCATCGAATATAATCAAAATGCCATACTGGCGCGTGAGATTAACAGCTCTGGAAACAAATTCTGGACGACACATCCTCATACCACTTGCCCCTTGAACCAATGGCTCCAAAATTAGTGCAGCAATTTTATGAGCATCAGCTTGCAAGTGACGCTCTAAAATCCGAAGTGCATGTATTTCTTTATTTTCCACTTGATCATCACCAATCCAAGTTTCCGGAAAAGGTATCGTAAGAACAGAAAAGAATAATCTGGAGAACAGATCATGAAATCCAGACGTGACTCCTACACTCATTGCTCCAAATGTGTCTCCATGATATGCTCCTTCAAAACTGAGGAAAACAGTTTTATCTCTTTCACCTTTATTCCACCAGTACTGATGGGAAATTTTCAATGCAACTTCAACAGCTGTAGAACCGTTATCAGAGAAGAAAAATTTACTCAATTTTTGTGGGAGCAATGCTTTCAATTTTTCACAAAGCGTCACTGCTGGCTCATCCTGGGTGTGAATCCTGCGAATATTACATGTTCTAAACGCAGACTTTGTTCATAAATTGCTCCTGCTATTTAAGGATGAGCATGACCGTGCAGCTAGAAATTAAATCCAAGTATGCCCCATCATCCACATCATAAATATATGACCCCTCAGCTCTCTTGACAGCAATTGGTATCGGAGCTGTTTTTCCTTGAGTAAATGGGTGCCACAGGATATTTCTATCTCGCTCTGCTAGATTCATCTTCATTCATTGCAAGCATTTCTCGCAGGTGAATTGACAAAGGCACTTTCAACAATGCTTCTTTATCAACTTGCTTTAACTGAGGCACTGTTGCCAGCACTTTCACTCCTCCGTAAAATTCTATCGCCTGAAGATTCTCTTTGTTTTCTGGCCCATTAAGAATTACTCCCAAGATAGGGATATCCCTTCTTCTAAGGGCCTCTAAACTCAGTAGAGTGTGATTGATAGTACCAAGTGTACTTCTTGCAACCAATATTGTTGCAACTCCAAGTAATTTGATTAAATCCACCATTAATGTACTTTTGTTAATTGGTACCAAGATACCTCCAGCACCCTCTATAATTATGTTTTCCTCTTTTGGCAAGTCAATTTGACCAATGTCTATATCACTGTTCTCTAGATTTGCAGCTACATGAGGTGATAACGGTTCTTTGAACATGAAAGCTTCCTTGTATATTAGCGTGTTTGTCAAATTACTCACTTGGTTGCTGTCCGTTCCTTGCACACTTCCAGTTTGAATAGGCTTGAAGTATGCGTAACCAGAATGAAGGCAAAGCCAGCTACAGATAGTTGTCTTACCAACATCAGTGTCCGTCCCTGTCACAAAAATACGCATTGGCTGAGATTGTCTGTAATTTTTTTGTAGTTGATTGCACAGCAGCAAGAAAATCTAATTTTTTTTTTACATTTCAATCAACGAAAAAATACGAGCTACTATATATTTCTTTGATGTTAGTCACATGGTGTATTGAAAATGGCAAGACTAAGACATGGGTAGGTACGGATCCAGTTTCAAGTTAAGAGTGTGTTACAGAAATAATTGAGGTAGGTAGTCTTATGGAACTTGAACTATGCAACCCAGAGTGCTAGCCGTTTCATCTCTGAACAAGTTTCTCTGCTGTTATCAACATGAGGGTGAATGATGCTCTTATGACCTTATCTCAACATTGAGTACCTTTCCATTTAGTTTATCTGACTGGCAGTGATAAGAATTCAAATGAGACTGCAGCTATACCTAAGTATGGCAGGATTGATATTCTCAGAAAGTAGAATGATTGGGGGAAAATGGAAGTTTTAAAATTCTGTATCTATTGCCTGTTTGAAAATTTTCAAGTCCTGAATATCTCCATTAGGTTTGAAATGCGATTTTGAGTTGCTAATTATAGGCTATTTACTGATGTTTGTAATTTTTATTTCCACACTACAAAATATCTTATTGTTGCAAAACTAGAAAAAGTGGAAATGGGGAAAAAGAAAGATATCAGCCAGCGATGATGCTAGAGCGTAGACTCGCATACCTATATTCAGTGGTTGACTAGAAGTCCACCTCCTTCACAAAGTGGGAGGCAAAAGTGCTGCCCTCTGTGCACTGTACTAGTGTACTATGTAATATGTAACACTTATCTATTTAAAAGGAAAAATTTACTTTCAGAAATTTCTGGAGATTTAGTAATTTTACGTTAGCACTGCTGCAACCCCAGGGTCGCTAGTGCTTCAACTGAGTGCCAAAAATCTTTTTCATCCCTTCTAGTTACACGATCAGTCAAGTTCAAACCTCCAAGCCAAACGTTTAGCGCTAAATCTCTTTTTTTCTTCAATTTTTAGTTTGGTGACATTTTCGACATCTCAAAAATTTTGCAACAAAGGGAAAAGTTACGGAGCACATTATGCACGTATTTTTTACGTTCTTTCCGAAAAAGTACACTGATTTTAGATTAAATTAAGTTTCACAAGTAAACTTGAAATAACCCTTGAAATTGGCAACGATGGACCGTTAGGCTTTTTAAAATTCACTGAAAGCTCTTTGTATGGCCAGAAATGAAATGCACGCAGAGAAATACCCGTGGTGCACTCCCACGGAAGGTGTCTAAGGTCAAAAAATATTCAAAAGAGCTACTCTCAAGTAAAAAAAGGCCGCTAAACACTACATCCCAGTCAATTTTCACATCGTGAAAATCCAGGTACAACTACACTTTTTAGATATGTTGTAAATATGGGTGAGAGCTGTTACATACGTCAATATAAAAGTCCTACCCCACTTTCTTGAACCTTAGGCGTGATTTATCAAATTTTTGCCATTTTGGGCTCTTGGGAAAGATTTTCCTCGAAAATTCGGCAACGTGGAGAAAATTTTCACTGAATGTTTTTTCTTCCTTTTTTTGCGTTCTTTCCAAACACGTAGGTACTCGGTTTATAGTTTAAATTGAATTCTACGTGCAAATAACTCTTGCTAAAAGAATAAAACTGATGAAAAAGTCAACAAAAATAATTATTTTTCAATGCCGGGATTAAGGGTTGGAGGCGCTGCTGCACCTTCGCACGGACTCAGTTCGGTAAAATATTTGGCATAAAGTCTACCTAGGACTAGTACTTTGAAATTATGAAACATTTAGCGAAATCCAGGTTGGGCCGTGTAGGGAAAAGGGGGAAAGGAAAGGAAATAAGGACAAATCTATCGGGAACAGATAAGCGTGTATGAACGTGAGAGAGGATCAGAAGGACAAGTGGTGGTGCGTAACCATAGATACATACAAGAGATATATACATGATACAGACAAAATCGTACAGGGTGCCACCCCCGGGCGGGCTATGCCGGGTCAAGGACAGGGCAAATTTCAGAGATGCTACGTATCAAAGTGCCAGAGCTGGTCTTGATTGATGCTACTCTAGGTATGTTGTCATTACCTGGGTGAAGCTTTATAATTCTGCCCATTCTCCAAAGCAGAGGAGGCAAGAACTTATCTTTTAATATCACTAATGTATTGACCCTAATATTGGTTTGTTTTACCCATTTACATCTTTGTTGCTGCTGATGCAAATATTCCATTGACCAACGTTTCCAAAATTTTTCATATAATTTTTTAATTAACTTCCAATTTGTGACCGGCGAAGTTGGATATTCTGCTTTAGTATTTAATATATTGGTCATTGCAGAACCAATCAAGAAGTGTCCAGGAGTTAGTGGAGAGAGGTCATAAGGATCGTTTGACATTGGCCAAAGAGGTCTAGAATTCAGGATTGCTTCGATTTTGTTAAGGATTGTTGAGAATTCTTCGAAATGAAGTACGTTTGTTGTTACAGTTTTGGAAAAATGATGTTTAAAACTTTTGACACAACTCTCTCATAAACCACCAAAATTAGGAGAGTAACTAGGGATGAACTTCCATTCAACCTGTTTCTCTTGCAAGTAATTTAAAATTTCAGCTGGAAGGTTATTTTCAAACAACAGGGGTTGCCTAAGATTATTTCTAGCACCAATAAACGTTTTTGCTTGATCCGAATATATTGTTAGAGGAATTCCGCGTCTAGATACAAATCTTTGAAGTGCTAATAGGAATGAGTATGTAGTTAGATTAAATGTTATCTCCAAATGAACAGCTTTTGTAGCGAAGCATATAAATACAACAATATACAATAAATTAACAGCTATTTTGTTAGGTTACACGATCTTAATTTAGCATTATTTAACTCCTCACAAGTTAAGTGCCCAGTTCTTTTATTACTCCTTTGTAAGTTCTGCTTCAAATTTTCAATAAATCTAAGACAGTACGAGGTTACACGTAGTAACTTATTAAAACTTGAATATCTCAAAAATAAAAACATTGGCTCACAATTAACCGCACTCAAACAAACAATATCAACGTTTTGTGGCTCTACGAATATCCTAGGTGCAGCATTGGAAACAGCTTCAGCACTTCTAATGCATGGAGGACCAAACCACCATAAAGGGGATTCTCCCAGTTTTTTAGCATTGAATCCTCTAGTAAGAAGATCAGCAGGGTTCTCAGCTGAGGGTATGTAACCCCAGTTGTCAGTACATAGGTATTTTCTCATCAGTTCAACTCTACAGGATATAAATCCGTCTGTATTTGTGTTAACATTTTTAATCCAACTTAGCGCAAATGTTGCTGTCAGACCACATCAATACATAATTTATATTTACATCTAATATCCTTAAAATACGATACACTAGTTCAGCAAGCAACACCGCACTGCATAATTCCAATTGAAGAAAAGGACTTACAAAGATTATACCACCTATCAATCAGCACTCTTTGGTAAAAAGCTCTGATGATAGGCAAAGCTAAGCTTATCGACGTCAGCGCGGGCATTACAAACTTGGTCCCTCATCTTGAGGATGTGGACCATTTCTAAGAGACACCGCAAAAAATCGTGCTTCTCAGTGGCCAAAATCCTAGCCCCTTCGAAGTCAAACCGATGATTTAAATTTTCTTCGTGCCGATGTAATGCAGTCTTTCCATTTTTATTGTATCGATGAGAATTCGGCCGCTTTTTAAGTACCCGCTTCGTCTGACCAATGTACCCAATTTCGCAGTCCTGGCACTTGATATGGTAGACTACTCCCGGTACCTGTTCATCCTTAAGCTTAGATTTTAATTTAGACAAAAGAAAATTTAAATTATTATACAGCTTATGAACCACAGAGAAACCATAAGATTTTAAAATCCCAGCAAATACTTCAGATAAAAATGGTACATATGGCAAAGAAATTAACTTCCCAAAATCCAGATTTCGTTGTTTGGGAGGCACAGTTTGTTTCCTTTTACTCGATGTTAAAACCTTGTGAAACTCTTGGTTAATAAGAGATGGAGGGTAGCAATTTTCGATTAACAAACGTTTTCCCGTTTCCATCACCTCATTGTGATACTTTGCATCACTGAGACGAATACAATAAAAATGAAAAGACTGCATTACATCGGCACGAAGAATATTTAAATCATCGGTTTGACTTCGAAGGGGCTAGGATTTTGGCCACTAAGAGGCACGATTTTTCGCGGTGTCTCTTACGAATGGTCCACATCCTCAAGATGAGGGATCAAGTTTGTAATGCCCGCGCTGACGTCGATAAGCTTAGCTTTGCCTATCATCAGAGCTTTTTACCAAAGAGCGCTGATTGATAGGTGGTGTAATCTTTGGAAATGCCGGTTTGGCTGAACTTTGTTTACCTGTTTTCAGTCTTACCTTGCTGTTAAGCGGCGGCTCATTTATGTGTAAATAACTTGTGTTTTTTTGTTTTTTTGGCGGTTGAAAAAGGGAATGTGAACCCCGAAACGTCCAGTCCAAATTACTATTATTTACAGCCTGCACCACGTGTTCCTCTCATTTCATTTATGTATGTATGTGTGTACGTAACACTCAGATTTGTAAATTATGAGGAATAGGTGGATGTACATAATTTGGTATTACCTAATAGAGGCAGTGTATTGATGGTTAAACTAGGGAAACATGTACCTCAATTTGCGACGTCGTATACTTCTCGTCATACTTTTACGTTATTAATTTAATTATTTATTAATTAATATTAATAAAATAATATTAATAGAAATTCGGCAATCAAGTATTGACCAATGCCACAATCGAAGCCGAAAGAATCAGGAAAAATAGAGTGAAAACCTTATACCTTAGACCTTGAACCCTGAGCGATGCGCCGCCGTTCCTCAACTATCGGAATGAGGAGCCCTACACGAGTGTCCTATTGTTCTATTGTTTATTCGAGTCACTCAGGTAGAATCCCACACCTCGACGTTTCTAGCGGAAACGTCGTATCTCTCACGCTAATAACATTTGACATAAGTGACATGAGCTTTGAAAGCTCTACAATATTGAAAATTTGGGGTTTCATAATTTTTTGCACGTCTACAGCTACTACAGATAACATACATGTAAGGATCATCCTTATCGGTCCGGTAGTTCATTAGAAATAGTGCTTCCAAGATTTTGCTTGTAGCGGTATAATATGGACTAGCCGTGATTAGCTCGCTTTGAGAGCTGACACGCCTAGCCGGGGAGTGCCCCTGGGCCCCATTTCTTCCCTTCGCGATTGAATTGCGACTCGCTCCGCGAGCGACCATTGCCCCACATAATTTTTAACATTGATGAGAAGCCAAAATCTTCGTCTTCATCTTCTTTTTCACCAATTTTCACAGAGATCAATGTTCCAGGAGCCGAGACCGCATTATAGAGCGCGGCCGCCACCTTCGATTTCGAAATGTTGAAAATCAGACCAAAACTTCGAGTTTCCCGTTGAAAAATACCTCTTGATACCGAATTTCACGAAAATCGATCGAAGTAAAGCCAAAACATCATATGAGGCCACGGTTGCCATCGTGGATTTTAAAAATTATGAAATCGGACCAAGAGTTCGAGTTTCCCGTTGAAACATACCTGTTCATGCAGAGTTTCACGAAAATCGATCAAACAGGAGTCGACTAAGCATTTTAGGCCACGGCCGCTATCTTGGATCTTGAAATTTTGAAAATCTGACCGAAAATTCGAGTTTCCCGTCAAAAAGTGCCCTCAGATACCGACTTTCGCGAAAATCCGTCGAACTGGAGCCGACTTAGCATTTTAGGCCTTGGCCGCGCCATCTTGGATTTTGAAATATTACATATCTAACCAAAAATTCGAGTTTCCCGTCAAAAAATACACTCTCCCACTAATTTACACCAAAATCCGTCAAAAATACCCCCTAAAACCGGAAATTTCATCTATGATGCTGTGACGTCACGCGACAGGATTGAACCTGTTCGGTGCGGTGCGCGTGAACATGAACAACCGCGTATCCCCAATGCATTACTATACACAACTTTTCCCTCTTACGGGCGTCCTGGGCAACGTATTGGAATCGGAATAATTTTGATCAACTCCTCACGACGGTTGCTAAACGTTTACCAAGTTTAAAGAAAATAGCTTCGGGCAATTTTTCTCCTG